GGATGTGGCAAGAACCGGAGTCAACAAATAGGCTCGGCGAGAGTGGTGCTTTGAGTTGCGCATTTCGAAATCCGTATCGGGCTCCTCATTTCGAAATCGTGTTTTACAAGCACTTGACTTTCACGCCTCAGGTTCGCCAAATTAGGAATGAGGGAACCAGATCAAAACATGTGTTTCAAGTCGTTGTTACGTTTTTATGTTTTATTTCAAAAAATAACGACCAAGTTTGCTCCTTTTTTGTGCCCTCTGCTTATTTCTGGCAAAAAAACCTGTACCTTGGGTATCCCACAGGGTGTGTCAAATCAGAAGAATAAGCATTCGTTGCATTAATTCACTGAGCAGTAATCCTGCACCTCTGTCCCCCATCCCATCTCCAGCAATGTCCGAATTTCCACACCCCACTTTAAATTATGGGCAGCAAAAGGGGTCATTCTGAGACCCTTGTTTTTTTTTTTTTTCATCTTTTTTTCTTCATTAAAGACCCTTTCAAATGACCTCATTTGAGCAGTCCTGAGCTTGCAATTGCAGGAAAGAACGAGGTGAGGAATCTTTGCTGGCTGAACGAAGTCCCAGGAGCCAAGATGGAGAGGCCTCTCGGAGAGGGGCAAGCAGACCAACCCCTCCACAACGGCCAAGGGTATGGAGACCAACCCCGTCTTTGTTGGCTGTATGAGGCCCCGCGGGTGAAGACGCAGAGGCCTACCAAGGCGGGATAAGCAGACCAACCCTCCACGACGGCGAAGGGTAAGCAAAATTCTCCTTCTTGCTCTCATCATCTCCCCCCTCCCCTCCCCCCCTCCCTCCGTACCCTCCCCTTCTCCTCTTCTTCGTGGTTTTCTCCCCGCAATCTCTCCTCCTCTTCTCCTTCTTCTCCTTCCTCTCCTTTTGTTTTCCCTCTAATCCCCTCCTCTTTGCCACCCTCTTCTCCCTGCCATCCTCCTCTCTCACTTCATCCTCCTTCCTAAACGGTCAGATCGAGATCGGGATCGGGATCGGGATCCCATGTCCTCGAGAGGTCTACTGTTCACTGTACCAGTGGCGAGACGGTCAGATCGGGATCCCATGCACAACCTTAACTAGAGCTTTGCATTGACAACGTTTCTTCTTCTTCTTCTTCTTCTTCTTCTTCTTCTTCTTTGTCTTCTTCTTTCTTCTTCCTCTTCTTCTTCTTCTTCTTCTTCTTCTTCTTCTTCTTCTTTGTTCGTCTTCTTCTTCTTCTTCGATGTCGTTTTCCTCATCATCTTTTTGTTATCCCCTCCCCCAATATCCTTCTTTATTCCCCTCCTCCCCCTCCTCATTTCTCTCCTCTTCCTCGTTATTTCTCTCCTCGTCTTCTTCAGGATATGACAATGCAGCTTGAACTTCTGCTGTTTTTCCTTCTTCTTAGGCGGATCGTGCCCACGATTAAACCATCATCATCATCATCACCATCATCATCATCATCATCATCATCATCATCATCATCAGCAGCAGCAGCAGCAGCATCGTCATCATCATCATCATCATCATCATCATCATCATCATCATCGCCATCACCATCGGTCATCAGCGTCAACATCTTCTTCTTCTTGTTCCCCTCGTCCTTTCCATTGCCCACCGGTCCCTTCTCTGTGTCTCTACCGTAGTGTCTACATGCAAAGAAATGCACAACTCGAGTCTCTCTCACTCCTTTCTTCCATCATTATTTTTCTGGCTATGTTCCTGCAGGAGCTTTGATGATTCTCTTGTTCATATGCCTGGATGACAAGTGGGGTATCTAGTATCTATTTCAGTTCAATTCGACTCTCCTTTCTCTTTGATGATTCTCTTGCTCATATGAATTGGCTATTTCAGTTCAATTAGACTCTCCATCTAACGGATGGGGGGGTATCTATTCCTTTAATTATTTGCATTTATCGGAGTCCATCAGGATTCGAACGTACTATTTTTTTTTTTTGCTTTTTTACGTATTTTTTAAAAGGATTCGAAGTCACTAAAGTTACATGTGTGTTAAAAAAAAAAACAAAAAAAAAACAAAGAGTTACATGTGTGTGTGTACTATTCAGCCACATGGGCCAGCTACCTCCTCCTTCTCTTCTTCTTCGTCATGGTCGTCGTCGTCGTTATACTTCTTCCTCTTCCTCCTCCCCCTCCTCCTCCTCCTCTTTTTCTTCTTCTTYTTCTCGTGGTCGGAAGGTCAGGTGGTGCCACAATGYGATTTTGGGAGAAGCCCCCTGATGAGAGCCAGGAGCGCAGCGTGGCCGAAACGCGTCGGGGAAATTGAGCGTTTCATGCTGAGAACTGTACATGCGGAGAAATAATGCAAATATGTCGATGCTTGTACGAGAAGCAGTCTATGGCGACTGACTGTTTTCACTTTTCTTCTTCTTCTTCACACTATTTCTTGTTCTTCTTCTTTACAGTGCTCTTCTTCTTCTTCTTTTTCTTCTTCTTTACAGTGCTCTTCTTCTTCTTCTTTACAGTGCTCTTCTTCTTTACAGTGCTCTTCTTCTTCTTCTTCTTCCTTACAGTGCTCTTCTTCTTCTTCTTCTTTACAGTGCTCTTCTTCTTCTTCTTCTTCTTCTTTCTTTCTTCTTGTTCTTCTTCTTTACAGTGCCCTTCTTCTTCTTTAACTTTCTTCTTGTTCTTCTTCTTTACAGTGCTCTTCTTTTTCTTTTTCTTCTTCTTCTTCTTCTTCTTCTACCCCTGTTATCCTCTTCCTGTGCAATCCGGGTCTACCCACCCGTTCTTTGCCTACTTTTTTTTCTTCTCATCTTCCTTATCGTCCTTGATGCCATCGCTATCCTTGCTTCTTGTCTCTGTGCTTCTGTGTTGTTGTTTTCTATTGGGATCGTGTGAGTATGCATGCAACCCGTGCCGTCACGAGTGGACAACCTCAGTTCATCACATCCCTCCGCGGCTTGTTACATCTATGGTTGATGGACTCCTCTGCCCCCGAATAGAACGCACGGTCGCTATCGTTGTGATTTGCCCTTGGCTTGAATGCCGTGCTGGGAAAGGGGTTCCTTTTTCCCTTCCTCCCCCCTTCCCCGCCCTCCCCCCCMCCMCCGCCCTCTCCCCMCCAACCCCCCCCCCCTCTTAACCGGTATTTAGTGTTCGGCAAGATCCAGGAAGGATCGTTCATATCACATCACATCACACTTACCCCAAGCAAACAGGTCGAAGGATAATGGTCCTTGCCGTTCCTGAAACTGAAAAAAGGTGTAACGTGAGGGGGGAGCTGGAGAGAATCGACGGCTGGAGAGGATCGACGATAAGGGGCTGGAGAGGAGATCGACGGCTGGAGAGGAGATCGATCGCTGGAGCCTGGAGAGGATCGACGATAAGGAAAGGGGCTAGAGAAGATCGACGGCTCGAGAGGAGATCAACGGCTGGAGAGGATCGACGATAAGGCGGCTGGAGAGGAGATCGACGGTTGGAGAGGAGATCGATCGCTGGAGAGGATCGACGATAAGGAAGGGGGCTAGAGTGGATCGACGGCTAGAGAGGGGATCAACGGCTAGAGAGGATCGACGATAAGGGACGATCTCCTCTCCAGCCGTTGATCCCCTCTCCAGCCGTCGATCCACTCTAGCCCCCTTCCTTATCGTCGATCCTCTCCAACGATCGATCTCCTCTCCAGCGATTGATCTCCTCTCCAGCCGTCGATCTCCTCTCCAGCCATCGATCTCCTCTCCAACCGTTGATCTCCTCTTCAGCCATTGATCTCCTCTCCAGCCGTCGATCTTCTCTAGCCCCTTTCCTTATCGTCGATCCTCTCCAGGCTCCAGCGATCGATCTCCTCTCCAGCCGTGGATCTCCTTTCCAGCCGTCGATTCTCTCCAGCTCCCCCCTCACGTTACGCCTTTTTTCAGTTTCAGGAACGGCAAGGACCATTATCCTTCGACCTGTTTGCTTGGGGTAAGTGTGATGTGATGTAATGTGATGTGAACGATCGTTCCTAGATCTTGCCGAACACTAAATACCAGTTAAGAGGGGGGGGGGCTGTCTCTTATACACATCTAGATGTGTATAAGAGACAGGTCCAGTAGGACTCCAGTATGGAAGGAATTCGGA